TGGGGGGAGGGGGGGGGGGGTTGGCCACTGAGTATCCCCCAGGTGGGATGAAAAATTGATAGAATGACCTGCTACTGTGGTGAACTCAGCAGATCAGCTCTAAGACTAGCATGGAAAATAAAAAAACGTCGCCCATTTTGGTCGATTATATATATGTATATGATCACGCTGGCGGCAAATCAGTGACTGAATAAAGCATCTCATTTGCTTCGAAAAATAACCACCGCTTTTCAAAAATTCCTCCGCGTTTAATTAGCCAAAAACCCTCGGAATCCGTAATTTTGTGATCGGTCAATAATTAGAATTTGCAATTTTCATCATCCACTTCCAAGATCTCTGTATTTGCAGTGGTGTATATTTGTTGTGTATCGATTGTTTGACTATCTTACCACAACATCGCGTTGACTGATTAGCTGATTCATTGGAATCAACGAGCACCGTATGACAGCGATTTACTTTTGATCACATCCCTGCTCTCGATAAAGTTGAACTAATTTTCGTCTCATAATCTCCCGTATTTTTCAGCGGCTTTCGTTAGTCTAGCTGACAAAACCCATTGGTCAGTGTCAAATATTTTTGTCCACAGCTCCGGTGAATTTCATCATTCAAGTGCTGGTGCCGCGTCTGATCGCCAGACCGTCATTCGCCAACCGCTGGAAACGCTGAAGGCCAAGACCATCCTGGTTGCTCAACAAAATTAGCTTGTCGACCACGCCAACTGAGTTCAGTTACACATGTGCTCACCCAAAAACAAGAGAGACAGTCTATTTTGGCGATTACAATAGGCCGTTTAGATGAGGCTGGTGATGAGGTAACAAGGAGCAGTCCTCACACTGTCACGTGTTCAAAAAGCATACACTGAAGGCACGTTTAAAACGAATCATTAGGAAGTTGGTACTGCAAATTCCAAGCGATTATCTGACGCAAGACGCGAAGGTATGGCAGCGGTGGATGTCCGGCATACATTTTGGCGAATGATTTAAGCTGACATATTCGCGGAGGATTTGTGCATCACCAGGTCGATCCTTCAATCCCAAAAGTGAATTTCCCTAAACGAGAAATATTTGTCTGCACAAATATTTTTTCGGCATGGCAAAATTATACTGTTTCTAGACGCATCAATAAAAATCGTTGAATCACAGATAATCGTCAATCACCTACGAAACTCCTTTGCGAAGCGAAAGATGATATTTCCATCCGGATTGAGAAGGCCAGAGCAGCTTTTGCTAACCTACGTCATCTGTGGCGTAGGCGTGACATCAGCTTCTTTGTCAAGGGTCGAATTTGCAAGGCTGCGGTGCGCTCCATGTCGCTATATGGATCAGAAACCTGGCCGCTACGCGCCGAGGACGTCAAAAGACTTTCAGTGTTTGACCATCGATATCTTCGGAGCATTGCTCGAATCTGGTGGGAAAACCGGATCAGCAATTCTGAAGTGCGTCGAATGGAATTCGTAAAAAAAAGACTAACCATCGATAGATGAACTCATCACAGTGCATAGGTTGCGCTGGCTTGGCCATGTGCTGTGTATGCCAGTCGACCGACT